GAATTATATATGCATTCAGTTTCTTCACAATTACATTATCATGTTATATGTGTATGATTTTTTGAGTGGTGTGAGCTTTTTTTGTGGCTATGAATGCAACCATAAAGTTCAAATGAATACAAATGTGATGAACCACTGCCCTCGTGTGCTTACTATAGAGAATGGCAAAGAAAGGTGGTCAGTGGTCAAGAATGTTATGCTGCTGCAGCAGTACCAGTCTCCAAATTCATACAATTTGATGGACATGTTCAACAAAACTTTCACTTTTACGTCTAATTTAGTTCTACACATTTAGTAAACTTTGGTTTTCTCTTTAGTTAAAGTGATCCACGATTAGTTAACAACATACAGTGTTTTATTAGAGAAACATTTATTTTAAACATAGAAATAATACAGTAAAAAAACTGTTTAGCTTTTATAAATTAAAAAAAATATAGTTTCACACGGATGTCGCCATGCACGTCGTTGCAATGTATGACGGGTAGATGACGCATGCTCGGTCATAATTTATTTTCTTCCTTTGATGCGCTGAATTTCTTTTTAATTAGGACAAAGTTATAATGCATTGTCTTTGTGTCTTACTTGCACTTTGACATTATGTATGAATAATTTGGGGAAACAAAATATTGCTGTTCATCTGGGATAATTTCAGACTAATATTGACAAAAGAATAAACGTCTTTCAGGTGCAATTTCAGAGTGAAACTAAATTGCAGTCTAACCTTTTACTGGTGAACGTACTCTAAACTTTGAATTTGACCGCACGTGTCCAAATATTTCTGTACTCTATGCATGATTTGCTGCTCTAACAGTAAAATTCACAAGAGAGACTTGATTCATTTTTGAAAACAGTCCATCTTAATCATACTGTTCACATTTTGACATCATGAGATTAGAACACCTCCTAAAAAATTAAAGACCCAAAGCCTCACAAGATAGCCCTAACCTTTTGTGGGTAATTATGTATATTTTCTTTCTTTTTTTAAATGGGATATATGAAACAGAAAAAAATGTATTTCAGCAGTATGTAATTGTACAACCTAATAGTACAACTACTTGAAATGTGAAAACTTCTGTGCCCAAAAAATACTGTCTTYTCTGGGTGGTCTCTCTTGTGGTGCCGTGACTTGTGTTTTTACTCTTTTGTTCATGTTACGGGTGGAATCTGATTCTGACAGAGCATCCTCCATAATGGCCTTCATGTAGCTGTAGTCCTTCTGAAACAGTAGCCTCGCTTCGATTTTCTTAWYGACWTTGCTCCAAGAAAATTTGAAGAGAGATTCACCAACACTCTCCCCATCTTGGTACACTGCCTGTTAAAAATTAGAAGAGAGAGATGTATATATGAACTGTTTAATCTATGTTACACACAACTGTAGTGATTATATACTAACCTGTTTCCCTGTTGGTGTTGTTGTTTATGATCCAGTGCAGTCAGCATGGAAGRGTGAACCATCACATCACAAGTAAAATGTGTTCTCTTTGGCAGGTACTTGAAATACATAAAGTGGTACACCTGAAACAACATTTAAATTATGTCAAATGATATTCTAGTGTATTTTAAAGGAACAAAAGCTGTCAAACTGTGTATATATTAATTAGGGTGCAATAATATACTGTATGTACCCATATGGAACCGTTCAATACAGTGCTTTAGGTTCAATACACTCCATGTATGGAACAATACAGATTTTTAACATTTATTTTATCAACTTGTCTTCTAAAGATGCTCTGTGTTGAAGGCTCAGTGAATCTGTATTCGACTACTCCACCTAGGCTGCATTGTGGAGCACAGATCCAATGAGAAACTTGCTGTTTCAGCAACATTTCATTTAAAAACTGTACTTTTGAGATTAAACACATGTTCATAATTAATTTCTATAAACTACAAGTTAAAAAGGGGCATGGAAATTTCTCTTTTTTGTACTGAAAAATATCGAACCGTGAGACTAAAATATCGAACCGAATCATGAATTTTCTCTATCATTGCACCCCCATTATTCATAATCTTATATACTGTATATATAGTGTGTGTACGATTTTAGATTGTATTAATTCTACCTTGCAGGGACACATGTGCAAAATAGCTTAAGCTAAACCCGGTGCAAAGCATCTTTATTAATATATTATTTTGCACATTGTCCCTGTTAAACTTTGAAAGAAAATGCTATTCATAAATGTTTTTGATTTGAATTTGTTTTTATGAAATTAACCCCAACAATAATTTATTGTAGTAACAGACACTTAAAAATGATAATCAAGAACATTGAAAAAAAAATGTACATTTTGGCAACTATTAGGGCAGTAAAGTTATATTTTTAACTTACCTCTAGTGTTATTGTGTGGATGTATTTTGTAAGATGGTCCWGGTCTTTCAAAACCCGCTTGTCTTTTATGATTTTCACAAGAGCAATGTGGGCATCAGATGCTGGCCTCAGCCAACATTTGTGTCTTGTGATTCCTTCGTGAAGACTCTGAAAAACTTGCAGTGTGCTCTGAATCAGATTTTGTGTACATGGGCACACGCTCCTCATTTGATTCAGCATCTGAAAGGAACAAATSCTGTTAATTACAGTCTTCTTCCTTTTCGTGTTTTTTTTATTGGCCTGCGTGCATAAATATGATCCTTTTGAATCTGGTAAAATGCATCTTCTGACCGCTGTACAGCAGCATGTGATGTATTCATTGTAATCTGGCATGACGCATCTTCTGGCCACTGTACTGCGGCATGTGATGTATAATCCATTGTAATCTGGTAAAATGCATCTTCTGGCCACTGTACTGTAGCATCTGATGTTTGATCCATTTGAATCGGGTAAAATGCATCTTCTGGGCACTGTACCGCAGCATCTGATGTGCTCACAAACGTTTGAGTTTCAGTATTTGTTGTAGTTGAAGACAACTGTAATATAGATTGTCAGATTATTAATACATCATTGCTATAATATTTAAAAAATAATCATATATATATATACACATACTGTATATACATACATATACTATATATATTTTTAAAATTATATCATACTATATATAAAAAATGACACTTACTGCTTGTGTGTGAACCTTTACGTCCTCTGGCTCTGTCTTTATGTCTGGTGTCGGTTCTGGTTTGGAGTCCAGTGTCGGGTTTGTGAGTCCACATGCAGCACCAGCAGTACCATCATTAAATAACGGCGCTTCCAGCTCACTTTCGCTCTCTAGCCGGTGGTGCTGAGGCACTTTGTGGGGGAAAATTGTCGGCACAGCGTCGGGTTTAAGCCTGCGTGGGGAACGACCACCTGTTAGCTCCTTCATTAACTTCGATCTTACAAACGACTCAAAATCGTCTGGAGTGAAGTGCTGAGAGCACAAATGTGGGTCCTTTGGAAGATGTGTCCTTCCAACAGCTTTTTCCCATTGTGATCTTCTTTCTTCTTCCTGTGGAAAGCGATGAAGGCTCACCTCACTTTTTCTGTTTTTGTGTGTGTTAAAKTTACAACCATAAGCGACGCAGTGCGGCATTGCCTGAGTTTACACCGCTCAAAAGCAAAATAAAACGCTCATTAGACACACCAAGACCGATCCAAGTGATGTTAGCCTGCAGTTGTTAGCATAACATGTCCACTATGACCTACCCACGTCATCAGCCCTGCGTGGTGAAACAATGGCGACCTCCGTAGGTGAAAAACGTAATAAAGATATACAATATATAAAGTAATAGTGAGTTTTTACGTAACACAAACAACACATTTTATGTTGATAAAATAATTACCACATATTTAGCACAACGTGCGCAATTAATAGTGTATCACTTTAAAACTGTAGAAACAATTCGCGGGAAAAYACCCCACGTGCTTTTGCGTCAGAGCACGTTTCCCCGCTTTGATTTGCTACAAACCAAAGGCCAGCACGGATTGGTGGGAAGCGGCGCGCCAGATGTCACGTGGCGCAGCTTTTCGCGCGAAACGTCTCTGTTGTGAGTGGTTGAGCCGCGCTGCTGTGAGGTCCGGTGTGGAAGCGAGCGGTTATTACTCCCAGTGTTTTGCCTCTTCAGTCCCCGCAGTTTGACTCAGTCGCAGCATGGATGTTGCCGCAGCAGCCGCGGAGAGTGCCGGGACGGTGGTGAAGGACGAGTTGGCTGAAAAATGTCAGAAGTTGTTCCAGGCTTTCTTAGAGGAGTGAGTGAAGCAAGCAGCGGCGGGAGAATAAACACGTGGTGATCCGGCGCTGTGCTCGGTGTGCTGAAAAGCGGTTGTTTCTGTGTTCTGGTCAGGTTTCAGAGCGAGGATGGAGAGGTGAAGTATGTCCGGGAGGCCGAGGAGCTGATCAGGCCTGAGAGGAACACCCTGCTGGTGAGCTTCACAGACCTGGAGGGCTTCAACCAGGAGCTGGCCACCACCATCCAGGAGGAGTACTACAGGTAAACCCACTTTTATTTAAATCAAAGTCACCCTTACCAGTTACATGTGTGAACAAAAGAGATTTCGTTTCAAGGTCGGATCCATGTTATTTAAGATGGCCAAGGAGGACCACCAGCAGGGGGCAGAGTTTATTTCTTCTTTACTTTATAAAATCCCACATTATTAAGCAGAGAGATGTGGGTCAGGTCTGATGCCAGGCTGGCATTACTAGAAAATTTATCAACCAGATGTGGACCAGGTTTGGCAACAATGGCACTGTTTTTTAAGATGGCCTGCCACAACTGGCCCATTTGTGATTTAGTTTATGTGGTGTTGGATGTGGATACAATTTTAATCCCGCACCAATATCAAATCTGACAGCAGATTCTAAAAGAACATCTCTAACCCTTCAAAATGACAGTAAAATCATGGGATTATTTCAAGCATAAAGGAAGTTATTGATGCTTGTTTATCTGAAATCAGCTCATGTTAGTTTGCTGTAATTCACAGGGCCTTTGTGATCATTTCATCTTCTTATTTATGTTTGCCCACAACTTCCTCAGTGTTCAAGCTATCGCCATGAAATTTTAGGAAAAGATTCACGTTCTGGTTTTTGTAAGAAGCATCATGTATCCTAAAAAACTAAAACTTTATAGTATCCAACGCAAAAGTAGCCAAAAGGGTATAAAATACTATTAAATTCATCTCAGCAAACTGCAAATCAAATCAACTTGATGTGTCTTAGAAAGCCAATTTTAAGACATTGTAAAACTTTAAATCTTTACTTTACCAGAGCAGTAGTTACACACGTGAAATCAAAGATAGTCTTGAGTTAATGTTGAATTAGATATACTAAAAGACTTACTACTTTAATAAATATTGGTTAAATAAAGACATGCAGTAGAATCTGGTAATAAAACAGCACAGATCCTCCCAATTCTCAGTATCAGACTCAGTAATAATGCCAAACTAACTAGTGCTGTAATAACAAGCACGCCAAAGATAAGCTGGTTTATTTTAGCAGAGTGCATGCCAGCTAACATGTTAATATCAAGAACTTAATAACTGACTGACAAATAGAATAGAATAGAATGGAATAGAATAGAATAGAAACAGCCTTTATTGTCCCGCTTAGGGGAAATTCAGGTGTAACAGCAGCAGCATCAGTTCACAAATAAACTATGCACCAATAGCAATAGTAGTAGTGGTAATAAAAAAAAAATAACAATAATAATAAAAAATAAACAAAATAATGTACATGGCAATAAAAATCAAATATGATACTGTGCAGGTAAATCACAATGAGGTGTGTAAATAAAGCGGCAGGTGGCTGCCCCTCCGTACCCCCTCCATGCTTGGATTGAAAGAGTTGGGCTTTCAAGTGATACCAAGATCATGTGTTTGGATATGACCTAATTTCCCTTTAAATTGGATTGAATTAACAGAAGAACAAGAAAGTTGCAGCATTTGGAATCGCACAACTTTGAGCCTTAAGTCAGAACTTTTGCAAATTATTCTAGTTTACAGTGGAGCTTTGAATAAATGGATTTTAACTAGAGAAATCGCATTTCCTACGAAAATGCTGGTGTAAATGCCTGTTGCTGAAAATGTTGGCTGAAAGCTGCAAATGAGCTGAAAATGTTTAATAGCAAAATATTATTGTAAGTTAAACTTGAAAAGCTGAAAAAAAGCAAAAAAAAAAGCAGAAAACAGTAAAAAGGAGAAAAAATATAGCTGAAATAGCATAAAAAGCTAAAATAGCTGAATAAAGCATAAAGCAACTAAGAAGCATAAATAACTCAATTGAGCTAAAATTACTTTAAACTTAAAAGTTTAATATTGCTTTAAATTGATTTAAAAAAGCATAAGACAGTGGAGAAAAAGGTCAAAAGTGTTTGAAGAAGTCATGAAAATGCTTAAAGTAAGTTAAGTTATTATTATTATATTTAAGTTATTGTTTTTTAAATAACTAATAATAAACCTCATATTCACCTTAAAGTAAATAATTTATTACTTTAGCAAATATTGGAGATAAAGTTGTAAATAATTCACTAATAATTAAGTGTCAAATAAAGAAGCAGCACTAAGCCTGTTCTGTAAGTTAACCACAGATCAGTAAAGTCTGCACAGCTCTGCTGACTTTGTTCGGAGATTCGTTAAATTTATTTGTTTGCAGAGTTTATCCCTACCTCTGCCGAGCTGTGCGCAACTTTGCTCGGGATCATGGGAACGTTCCTCTGAACAAAGACTTCTACGTGGCCATTGAGGATCTGCCCACCAGACACAAGTAAGYCTCTGAGTGGTCCTAAATCGGCTGATTGAGTACAGGGAACCATCAAACATGATCTTTAATATGTTCCAGGATCCGTGAGCTGTCCTCCATGCGGATAGGCACACTGGTGAAGATCAGCGGTCAGGTGGTGAGGACGCACCCAGTCCACCCTGAGCTGGTAAGATCCGGACCTCCAGCGGACCACTCMGTGGATGATGACCTCGTGGGTTTGGGGAGTCTAAAAGTTCTGTGTTTGCAGGTGAGCGGTACCTTCCTGTGCATGGACTGCCAGGCGCTGATCAAAGACGTCCCTCAGCAGTTCAAATACTCGCCGCCAACCATCTGCAGAAACCCCGCCTGCTACAACCGCTCCCGCTTCCACCTGGACACGCACAAGTCCAAGTTTATCGACTTCCAGAAGGTGAACCGTGGGGTGGGGGGGCGCCGTGATGGGAGGTCAGCGCCGCCGCTCAGGTTCAGGTTCTGATTGCGTTTGATTTTCTGGCCCGCTCAGGTACGAATCCAAGAGACGCAGGCGGAGCTGCCCCGWGGCTCCATCCCACGCTCCCTGGAGATCATCCTGAGGGCAGAGGCTGTGGAGACAGCTCAGGCTGGGGACCGCTGCGACTTCACCGGGACCCTCATCGTCGTGCCAGACGTGTCTCAGCTCAGCACTCCTGGTGGGGGTTTAATCTCAGGGATTAAGCGTTTCACAGGGTTCCAACACCTTGGTCAACATCAAATTCAAGGARCTTTCAAGGGCTTTCCAGTACCAATTTCCTTAAATTCAAGAACCAGGCGTGATGGCATTTACCTACTGTTACCAGTAAACAGGTTTAATATCATGTAAATTCAATAAAAACTGAACAACATAGAATAAAMTGGATTAAATGTTTAACCTACATTCATGTCCACGATACATGGACATTAATTATGTCCTGAGAGGTTGGGCAGTTTAGTTTATGAGGAGGGGATGTGAACATGTCCAGACCCTCYGTGAGGACAGGAGGAGCTGTGGTGCTCTCATCTGGGCTCAGAAAGAAGGACCTGCCCTACTCTGCTCTGATTGGCTAAAACTGTGACTATGGCTCATGTTATTTGTTGAAAGCCGCGTCAGTTTACCGTAATCCTGAGTTATCCACTGCAACAAATGTTTGTTTGTTTTTTTACAGATGATAAAAATCAGTTGTGAATAGAGAGCTTAAATCCCCAAAAAACATTCAAGGACTTTCAAGGACAAGTGTAATTTTTGGCTGTTTTCACAAACTTTCCAGGGGCTTGAAATGATTTTTCACAAGCTTTCAATGACTTCAAGGATCCGTGGGAACACTGGTTTCATGGTGCTATTTGATCTCTGTGTGGATGTGTCCTCAGGCGTGCGGGCAGAGACCAGCACCCGTGTACCTGGCGGTCCTCAGGGCTTCGAGGCGGAGGGTTTACGAGGTCTGAAAGCTCTGGGAGTCAGAGAGCTGTCCTACAGACAGGCCTTCCTGGCCTGTAACGTGGCCCCGACCAACCCACGAGTAAGAACCACACACTGCAGCTACTGCTGCTATTGTTCATGGGTGAATCTCAACTCTTGTCCTGTTGTTGTGGCAGTTCGGTGGGAAGGAGCTGCGGGACGAGGAGCAAACAGCCGAAAGCATCAAGAGCCAGATGACAGAGAAGGAGTGGGAGAAAGTGTTRGAGATGAGCCAGGACAAGAACCTGTACCACAACCTGTGCACCAGCCTCTTCCCCACCATCCACGGTCAGTCGCAGCGCTGCCGCCCACCCTCCTCCTCCTGCAGGTGTCGGGGCGGGTCAGTAAACGTGTCGATTGTTGGTCACGCAGGCAACGACGAGGTGAAGCGTGGCATCCTGCTGATGCTGTTCGGAGGCGTTCCCAAGACCACCATGGAGGGAACCTCGCTGAGAGGAGACGTCAACGTCTGCATCGTTGGAGATCCCAGCACAGCCAAAAGCCAGTTCCTGAAGTGAGTCCCGCACCAAATCACAGCTTGTTTTTTTTTTTTTTTAATTGTTCTGACTAAATGGATGTGTGCGATCACACCGAGGTTATAGTAGTTTTGGATTTTTCATTGTAGTTTCGTTTTA